TGACTACATTTGCCTATGTTCAGTGGCCATTCATATATCTTACTTCTAGAAGGTTTACTTAACTCTTCTGCTAGCTTTCCCACTTTTTATTGTTGAGTTGTGGCTATTCTTTATATATTTTAGATACAACTCTTTGTCAGGTACATACTTTATAAATATTTTCTTCCGGGGGGTGGACTGGCTTTTCCTTTGCTTAATATCGTTTGTCAAAGAGGAGAAGATTCTACTAAAATCTAGATGCTGTTGTCATTTCTGCACAGTTACTATTTTCTGTTTCCTAAGAAATCACTGATATTTCCAAGTTGCAAAGCTATTCTCCTCTGCTGTCTCTTAGAAACTATGTTTGGTTTCAAGTCAATGTTTAATTCCTAATTCATGAACACCTATTCAATGATTTATCTGCTCAAGGCCTAATTGGAAAAAAGGATTTTTTTCTTGAATGAATAATTTTGTTGAAAATCAGTTCATTGTACAAATCGTATTTATAAGCTCTTTGTTCTGTCCTGTTGTTCTATTTAATTAGCCTTATACAAGTACCATACATCATTATTCTAGCTTTGTTCTAAGCCTTGAAGTTAGAAAGCAATTTTCAGGTTCAGCCAAAAGATTACTTTAGTCATTCTGTGTCCATTATAGTTCCACATAATATTTAGAATCTAATTTTCATTTTCCATGAAAATGCTTGCTGAGATTATAATTAAAATTTTATTGATCCAAGGAATATATTATAGTACTGCTGAGTACTCCAATAAATGAACATAATATATCTGTGACTTAGATCTCTAACCTAAATTTCTCCTTGTAATGCTTTATAACTTTTAGTGTATATGTCTTACATATATTTTGTTAAATTTATCTCTAAGTACTTAATTATTATACTACTGTAAATATCATTTTGTAATTGCTCATTGCTGCTTGTATTATTTTGTTAGGGTTTCCAAACAAGTTATCAAAGTTATCAATGGCTTAACTGTCAAAAATTTATCTTGCGCCTGTTCCAGGGACTAGCAGTGCCAGTGGGTTGGTTTCTTCTGAGGCCTCTGTCTTTGGATTGTGAATGGATCATTCTCCTGCTTTCCTTCCACAGGGCTGGCCCTCTGTCCAAGAGCATCTGCAGAATCTCAGTGTACACATCTCTTCTTTTAGAGACATAGTCACATTGGGTCAGGTCCTACTTTCAAGACCTACAGAGCCTCTTTAAAGTTCTCATCTCCACTTGGAGGTACTAGGAATTAGGCCTTCGACTCATAGCTTAAGTGAGACACAATTCAGCCCACGATCCAGTACACAGATAGACAACAGACTTTTGTATATGGCCATTCATACTGTGGTACTGTTCACTCATCTCTTAATTCTTGAACTTGGTATGTATTTTCCTTGGGTATTTTCACAGGCAGACACTCATTGTCTGAAAGCACTAGATATTTTACCTCTTCCTTTTAAATTTTTATGCTTTGGGTTTCTTTTTGGTTTTTTGATGTACTCCACTGCTTAAGACTCTAGCACAATACTAGACAGAAATAGATAGGGTGGGTTTCCTTGTCCCCAGGGGCAAATTTTTTATAGAGGTTCCTTATCAAATTGGAAAGTATGCCTCCAATCTATATTGGCTGGGGATTTTCTAAAAATTATGAAAAAGTATTGAGTTTTTTTCAAAAATTTTTTCTGCTTCAATTGAGATGATTGTCATTTTTTTTGTTGATATGCTTAATTGCATTAAATGATTTTTGAATGTTCAGTTAATAACATACACTTGGGATAAATCACACCTAGTCATTGGATATTATCCTTCAAAATACATTGATATAATGCTGACTTCAATTTGCTAATAATTTATTAAGTATTTTTATATCTCTATCATAAGGAATATGGTTTAATTTACTATTTGGGTCATGTTTTACTATCAGGGCTTTCCTGGCTTAATGAGAGGGCTGGTATAATGTTGGTACTTTATTAATAATTTTCACATAATTGTTTGACCGAATCCACCAGTAGTCTGAAGTTTTCCTTGTCGGAAGGTTTCTATGGAATAAAAATCAATATGTTATTGAATTTTGTTCAATTAAATTCTGAGTTTCATCTTGTGTCAGAATGGGTTGGTTTTTCTCCCAATAAATTCATGTTTCATCTAAATTATTGAGTTTATTGGCATGAAGTTACTGGTGTACTGTACTTTTATTTCATTTCATGTGTTACAGTTTTTCAGCAAAGGAACAGAAGACAGTATGTTATACTCAGGGGGAAAGCAGGTAAGGTGTCATGACTTTTGTAATTTGTGTTCTCTTTTTTGGAAAAGGAATTTGATCAGCCGTAGTTTTGTTTGTTATTCTAGCTGTGTGACCAAAACTTGTAACAGAAGTAGGTAAAAGTCAAATAACGCAGAACATTATAAGCCATGCCAAGTAGTTTGGTTCTCAATAGTCACCCAAAGGGCCATGTGTTAAAAAGGTCTGGGCCTTGGTGTGGTGCTGTGGGAAGGTGGTGGGAGCTCAAGTTCAGGTCCCTAGGGAGTGTCCTCAGAGGGAACTGTGGAATGTTCATGTCTTCCTCTCTCATTTTTGCACATGGCCATGAGTCACATGGATGCCCCTCACTACGTGGTCCTGCCCTAATGCCTTGTGCTGCCATAGGCACAGAGCAATGCAGCTCATCAGTCATGGACTGCAATATCCAAACTGGAAGGTCAAAATAAGCCTTCTGTATTTTAAAACTGATTGTTGGACTGAGGATATGGCTCAGTGCTAGAGCTCTTGCCTTGTTTGCCCAAGGCCCCGGATTTGATCCCCAGCATCAAAAAAAAAAAAAAAAAAAAAAAAAAAAAAAAAAAAGATTATCTCAGGTATTTGTTACTATCGTAGAACACTGACTAACACTCCATGTTAGAGAGTTTGGGATGGAAATAGATTGCCTCCAATGTATTGTTTATTAAAATATTAGTAACAGTGTGCTTTCAAGTTATTTACTAGTAATGTTTATTCTTTACTTATTCTTCAACTCATTACAAACCAAGGTTTGAAATGCTTAAGGTGATGCATTCCAACAAGTTAAAACAAAGTCATTGAGCACGTTGGGAAAAAACAATAAAGTAGAGCTGGAAAACAAAAGATCGACCTAAGGCCAATTCAAAATATGTTTAACGTTACGTACATACTTTAACATTGTAAGACATATTTGCTACAAGCTGTGTCTGAGTTTCTAGAACCTAGAACAGTCTGAACATTCTTGTCCCCCAACCTTTGGCTACGTTTTTCTGGTAAAAGGCCTTCCCAGCATTCCTAGCGCAGCCAGCCCTTACCGCATTCAACACTGGCATTCACAGAATGGAGAGTATACATGCTGGTTGATTGTGGCAACTTTTCAGAAGCCTTGATTTCTGATCATTTCACCCTTTCAGGTGAGGAGAGAAAGTGGACACTTGACCATTGCCTATTATCATTGCCCATTGTGCTATTACAAAATACCATAGACTGGGTGATTTATAAACAACAGAAATGTATTTCTTACAGATTTGGAGGCTGGGAAGTCCAAGCTCAAGGTGCTAAAAGATATGATGTTGGGGGATTGAGTTTCAACATGGACTCTGGCGGGACACAAACATTCAAACCATCACACCTGTCTATGTAACCGGGGCAGCCCGCCAAAGTAAAGGATTCAGGCCCCAAGTCCACTTTCTCTTTAGTCTAATGGGTCCAGCTTTAAACGAATCAATCTCCTGTTCGGAGCAATGGATTTCCACGGGAAAACAAACAGCAATAAGGAGAAAGTTTCCGTTTCCCAAATGCTGTATTCATTTTACAGAAGCAAACTGGGAATTACTTTTCATTTAAAAATTTTTCATGCCTTACTTCACGCTCTACTTCTTCATTTACTTTACATTGGCTGTGTTCACCTGCATACAACTTTGCATCTCAGAGAAACCGAAGTTACAGAGGAACTACTCAGGGCAGGATAATGAGCCACTGGAAGGCATTTCCAAATGTTTCCATGTTATCAATTTAATTATGTGTTTCTATGTACTGAGTAATGTCTGACATTCTTCCCAAGCGTATTTTGAGCGGCGTTTGTTAAAAGTATGTCAGCTAAATTACTTCTGGTATATCACTTCTAATAGTGTCATTCACAAGTTGTGCAACATACAACTCCAGATTTAATTCTTTCACACAAAAAAAATAGGTCATTGCGAAATGCCATAAAAACTGCAAATTCGTGACGGGGAGACTGGGTTAAGAAAAAGAAAAAGAGAAAAACAACTTCTTCCCACCCCCAGCGTGATAGGGATAATCAATATAAGGAGGAAGTCGGAGCCCTTTTAATGGCTACTTTGAGGGGTGTTAATTCCAGTTAAATAAAAATGATGAATTAATTTAAATTTGGACTACCTGCTTGCTCTCCGCTGTACCAGGGTAGCGCTGGTGCTCTCAGATTAACCTGATTGTGCCCAGGGAGCGGTGCGCTTGCTTTCTAACATCATAACGCAAAACAGCCGTGATAGCCTGACTTTATATTTTCATTTATGAAAGAAGGGTGTTTGATACAGCGGTGAAAGGCACTTAGTTTGTAACTGTTGCTGCTATCGTTAGCAATAAGCACAGGTGTGTTGGACCTACATTCGAGGATCGTCTTGGTGGCACAGGCTTTCATTCCCCGACCTGCTAAAGAGCGGCGCCCCAGGAGCCTGTAGCCGCCGCAGGGTTGAGCTCCCGGCGAGGTCGGACCCCTGCCCTCGCGGACCTGGGGTCGCTCTGGGGACGAGCGAGGTGGTGCCCTGTTTGTACTCCTAGGCAAAGCAAAGCGCCCAGGGGCGCTTTGTCCCACTTAGGGGCAATTTTCTCTCTCTCCTGCCTTCTGGGCTTGGGATGCGCGCCCCACCCTGTGACCTTTCCGTCCCTAGAGTGGAACACTGAGCACACACCCACCGTCACCTTTGCGCGCGCGCCCGCCGCCAGCTCGGCACACAGCGCACCCCAGCGGCCGCCTGGCTCCCAGTCCCCGCGGCCACTGGGCTTCCGGAGCGCTCGCCAGTGGCCTCCGCGGTCGCTTGGCGGCCAGGGGTCGGAGCCCGCGAGAGCAGGTCTCCGCTGGACCCCGGAAGGAGCGGGACTGCTGCGCCCGGCCCCGCCCGCCACACCTGGAGCGAGGACAGCGTGGGGCGGGGCAGCAGGAGGTTGGCCCCGCTTGGCCGGCTGGGGCGACAGCCTGCGGACTGCAGCGGGCGAAGGGGGAGGGTCTCGGGCAGCGCCCCGCTCCTCCGAGGGAGGGACCCCAGCTGGGTGGAACCCGGCCGCCGCGAGCCGCAGAGACGGGCGGTGATCATGGACCCGGCCGGCCCCAGCCCCGGGCGGCCGCAGCGGGACCAGGACTCGGTCGAAGCGTGGTTGGACGATCACTGGGACTTTACCTTCTCTTACTTTGTTAGAAAAGCCACCAGGTAAGAAGAGGATCCACGGAAGACTCGGCTGGGGCACGGAGCGTGACCTGGGGCTGAGCTCGCTCCCCTATTGAATTCCCCCTTCGCTCTCCGTGAAACAATCCCCGTCCCCAGGCCCCTTGCTTTAGAAGTAGGTCCCCGGTGCTGTTACGGGCTCCAGAGAGTCCCCGACTTTAAGTGAGCGATCAAAAACCTCGAGCGCCGGATTCGAGCCAACTTTGCTCCCAAAGTTCAAATGCAAAACTGTGCGTGCGCTCCGGTCCCCGCGCCACTGCTATCCCCCGGGAGCAAGATCGCGCCGCGCATCCGCGCCCACGGGCCTCCCGCCAGCCCCCGTCCCCTCCCGGTTCTCCTAAACCCTCAGCAAAACCAAAACAGTTTCGAGCCCCTTCGCCGCCGCTCCGGAAGCACCGCGGCCAACTCGGTCCCCGCGGCTGCGCTCCTCCCCCGTCCCCCCTCGCCCTGGCCCTGGCGGGGCGGGGAAGCCGGGGCAGGGACGTGCCCGCGAGGGAGCCCCAGCTGCAACATGCCGGAGCCTTCCCCAAGTGAGTGCGGTCGCCTCGCCGGGCCGGCCCCCTGCTCTTCCCGCGCTCCCTTCTCCCGCTTTCCGCCCGAGGCTGCGCCGCGCGGCGCGCACACAAAGGCGCGAGGGAGGTGCCGCGCCCGGCGGATCCCGGGGGGCTGGCGGGTCACGCGCGGCGGCCGAGACCCCAGAGGCCGCTCCTCCTGGTCGGGAGCCAAGCTCCGGGCGGCGGCTCGAGGGCGGGGAGGGGGAGCCCGGCCTTTAGGAGGCGGCTGCACAGTGCGGCCGGGGCGCGCGTGGGAGACGCTCGCACGGAGTTGGAGGGGACACTGAGACTGGAGCGGCGGGACCAGGAGGGTGGCGCAGAGGGCGCGTGGTGCGCGGGCTCCCCGAAGCTGGAGGAGTTGGCGCGAAGCCGCGCTCCGCAGGGGAAGGGGCCGGGGCCCCGGCGCCGCCGACTTGGGGCAGCGGCTGTCGGGCAGC